TCACGATTTTCCAGAATATCAACCGACTGAATATTTTTCATCTCAGCCACAACAGCAACTAAATGAATCTAAAAACTTAGTATTTCCTCTTGGCAATGAATTAATGAAAATCGGCAGATATAGAAAGTAATAAAATTGTTCCTTATAAGATTACTGAATTACAAAGATAAATTTGGAAAAAATTCTATATTTCAAATACTTTTGAATTTGGAAAAATTTTCCAGCCAGAATTTTTGGAATCTATCTTCTGATCCTGATAAAAAAACAGAATATCGACCGAATGCTTATTAGCACTGACCTCATCATTTGGACTACACTTTTTCAAGTCTGCCAAAGTCCTATATGCACAGCTTGTTTGCGTCTGAATAACATCTGCAAACTCCATTTTCTTCTCTCAGAATAATTAGTTGATGAGAACCTTCACTCACAAAAAACTTCCAGAGAATATATCAATAACTATCATAATTTTGCGTAATCAACTAAAGTAATCACCCAGAATATCTTCCATTTTGACTGAAAAGAAACAATTCTAATAGCACAAGAGACTGTCTATGAAATGGAACAAAATAAGTAATATAAGAATCGTGAAATAAATTCAGTTGAATAATTTTCTACATAATCTTCGCAATACAATTGCGCACCACTCCCATAATACTACTTTAAACAAGTGATGCCCAAATCCGTACTTCATTACAACTTCGTTAATTCCGTTATTTACAAGATAAAGACTTGCACTTATTTATATTTCAATAGGACAAAAAAAAAGATATATTCATCACTTTAAAATAAATTAGTTTAAATCATGCAAAAACTCCTCAAGTTCTTCAGTCCATTAAAAAGAAAATCTAAATTTACTTTCAGTACATTATGCTGCGTAAAAAATCCTATATTTTCACAGACTTTCCTCAATTTCAGCGAATCAGTGATATGAGAAATGAATACAAAGAATCAATCCTAAAAGTATAGCAAGACACGATAAAGCTATTTAAATGTAAAAAAATTATTTGGGTTAATTATGTTCTTTGTTCGCTTAACATGTTAGTTTCCGGAATACACCTTACTCTTTGAATATAAAAAATTTATCGCAATCAAACTTCTTCTTTAATTTCAAGTTTCATTGATCTACAGAGACAATACAAATTTCATACACCTGATGCAAATGGCTAAAACAATCTTTTGAACGGTAGATAATAATTCAAATCGAGAAATCATGAAAACATAAGATGTACAAATATATCGCATAAAATTAACCGGTGATTAGTTCTGGTTTGAATACTATAAAGACCCGATATTTTCACTTAATCATATTTTTTTATCCATTTTTTCCAAATGTGGGTCGGATTTTCCATGTAAATGTGTGACGAAATGAATGCCTGCTTTTCTTGCAGCACGACCAGCTACAGACCTAGGACCGAGATCCCAAAGCTGCAAAGCAGCTAGTGAACTATGACCTGTTGCATATAATACTTCATGCGCCGTCACAGAAGCCTGATCGCCCCATCTTAAAAATTGAAAATTCACATTTTTATGATATTGAAAACTCCAGCGATTTCAGAAAAAATTTTAGCAACGCTACATGAATAGAAAACATCAACATCTCGCAAAACAATATTAATTAACAAACAGAATTTTCCAAACCACAAAATTTAGTTCCATGGAGTAAGAAGCAAAAAACGCAGACTTACTTATGTTTCACCACATCCACCGTTTCATCAGCAATATTTTTTGCCATTACTTTAGAAGCATTTTCAAGGGCTATCCACACAGTACTGACACTTGTGATACCACTTCCTAGTACATAAATTGTTCCATGGACGATTCCATCTTTAGAATTTCCAAGATGTTTCTCAGCACCTGAGGCAAGAGTTTTTCCAACTGATACTCCCATATCACCAATCTTATTCACTGCAACAATTAAGACAATAAATAAAATTACGATCTTACGGAGAATTTGAATTATCAAAGGAAATAAAACTTATCTTGCTAAATTTGTGAAAAAAAATCTTGACATTAAAATTAATAGTTTCTAGCATAGGAATCAATATTCAAAAATTTTTCAATTAACAACAATTATAATCAAAATGTTTCACCATAAACTGGTTGATTTTATGCTCCTTAAAATGAAAAAAACTCACGCAGATACCTTGTACATTTTGCAACCACCTTGCTACCTTTGTGTACGTAATGTATGCCAAATCTGACAGCTGGATTTATTCGCAATGGTTTTTCATCGCGCTTCAAAGAAGAACGAATTTGAGACGACCCATCAACCACTATACGAGACGTCGCTTGGGCGACATGATTTATGTTAGACGCCAAGTAATCTCCACCTGTATGATTTTTTGTTTCCAAAAATTTTATGGATTAGTAAGTTTTCGACGGTTTTAATGCCCTCAATTACTCTTGAGCATTTCAGACTCTTTCAAGGCAGAATCATTTAACTAAACGATCGTCCTGACCTCTAACAAGAAAATCTCCAATTTTTTGACTAAGATGCTCCCTCTCTTCTTGACTCATTTGTCGCGATAATTCCAACGTCCTCAATTCGGTATGTTGTTTCAGAATAGAAAAAAAATTGTCTTCTTCTTTCTGGTCCAGAGTTTTAGGCAGAAGTATTCCAACAAACATATCTGTAGTACACTAATATGAAAGTATTAAAAAAGAAAATTTCTAGATGAGCACATCAAGAATAAGAGTTGTCTCACCTGGATGTTCGGGAACGGGATTTGGTACCACATAGGCACCGAAATCGTTTTTCAAAACTGGTGTCTCTCCTCGAACTAAAGGATATGACCATGGCCCAACCTAAAATCACAAGTCTAGTTGTCTTAATCGCAATATTCTATCCAATATTTCTGCTTTTTGCTAAAAAAAACATGCCTGTAGAAATGCTTCTGTGCGAATGTCTTCCATTTTTTCATGATTTGAAGGAAGACAAAATATTTCTAATGAGGATGGAGGAGTTGGGGCTGAAGTAGTATCACCCTAGAAGTATAAAATTCTAAATTTTCTGAAAATATCCAAAATCTTACAACTTTACTTATAAAAAAAACAATTTCAAATTGATCATTTTCCAGCAGCATTCTAAAATAATAAAATCCGACATACTTCAATAATAAAAAGTTGTACACCATCTGGTATAAAGTAAATCAAATCTGCTTCCACCATGTGCAACGGCTCGATCTGCTTTTTCAGTTCTTTTTTTATCTGAAACGCACACTTCCTAACAATGATAAAATTTCATCACAGTTTCAGCTTAGAGAAATTGATGCCACCATTTCGTCACACTGAAATACATTTGCTTATAACATTTCAAACTCAAAAAGAAAATTACCTCTTTCGCTTCTACTTCAGCTTCTTCAACATTAGGCTCTTGTGTTTGATTCTTTTCACTTTCATTCAACTCTTTTATTCTTGATTCCACTTTTTCTTTAACTTTCATCACGGTTTCATACATCCTACTTTCTTTACAGTTCTTTTCTTTTGATGCTTCTTTCATAAGCAACAAACTTCGCTCATAGAATGCCAATGCATTTTGCTAAAATTTTTTCCCTTCCAAAAATTTGATTTCAGAAAATACCATTACCAAAGCATATTTTAAATTATGGACTCTGGGACAAGTACAGTTTTTCGTCCAATGTACAGAAAATTTGAACCACAAACAAAGAAAGTAACTAACGGTGTCGTCAACTTCATCATAGCAGAGACCTTGTTCGATGCAAGCCCATGCTTCAGAATATAGCTCATCGACGGTACTAGTCATCGCTATTGCCATCACGTACTTGCTTACTGTTACCCTAACTTTGATAGCAATCTGAAGACAAAGAGATGCCTACTCATCAATGCATAAGTCAATTATACGCACTCATTTGTTCAAAGTAAAAATGTACTCAAGCTTTAGAATGAAAAACTTTGAACATAAATTTCAAAGATTTATTTTTTGCTAACTTTTTCTGAACCAGCTCATTTAAATTTTAAACCCTGTAAATAATTTTGGTAATTCAGAAAAGCTGAAGTCTTAGAAAAACCTTAAATAAGTAAAATATGCAATAGTGGTACAGAAAAGTTAAAATTTATCCCCGAAAGAGCCATAGATTAAGATCTTTAGTTGAATAAGATCTTTGGTTAGCTTGACTGCATAGTCATATTTAATAAACTTATCAACTGATTTCCAAATCATATGACACGAACCGCCAAAATAAATTCCTACAGACTCATTTAAACAGAGTATAATTCGCAAATATAAATAATTAGTGAAAATAACTTGAAATTTCTTTTAGTAACAAAAGAATTGCAGAAAATTCATTTCTTAAAAGTGCACTGAATGATGTGTTAAAAAGCAATACTGTCATGTGATATCAATGTTTAAATGCAATACACAGAAAACTAGAATACATTCGATAAAATTTAGTATCTTTATATATATACACATTATATATATAAGATATAATGATCGATCAGTTCTACCTGAAATAAAAGTTACAAAAAACAACACACATTTTCACTTATACATAAAATTACGTCAACAAAATACATACTAACTTTATGGAGCAACGTTATAAAAATATAAGAGAGAAAATGTGCTTTAAAATATTACAATCGAAGGCACATAAATACAGTACATGACAGGCAGTATTTATACAAATGAGGGAATATGTAATTATAAATGTGACAAGTTGGCTTATAAATGAGAGTGAAAGAAACACGCTCCATAACAATCAGTTATGTACTGTCATTTACAGAAAAACAAGCAGACATAATTTGAGATCAGTTTTCATGGACCAGCAAATGTTCACCATTTGACCAGGTGGGTTAAAGAAGTGATTCAGCATGTAGTTTCAAGAATCATAAGTAAATACTTGAAAGTGTTCGTAGAAAACCCAATTATTATTGAGAATGAGAAGAAGTATTACGAGTTTCTGATTTCCTGCAAACTTCAATTGATCGAAGTTCTCTATTTTCTGCGAACAACCTATTGGCAAAGATGAGTACGGTATTGTTCTTATCACTTTATCTTTGATAAAAACGAATAAGTCACTACGGAATTGTACCATTTTTAACTCTTGGTAGGTTCGTAGGGCTTGTTCCTCGCTTATTGCACTATTATTCTAGCGTTATCCAGAAATATATTTTGCAGTCATTGATTACGAGTTACAAGATTGTAACTAATTCTTAAACTACACTGTACAATAACTCCTAGAATAGCATTGATTTCCTGCAAATTGCAATTGATCGAAGTTGTCTTTCTTTCCCAGAATTAACCAATTGCTCAGAAGATCTGAAAGTTCTCCAAGACATATAGCTACTGAAAATGACCGAAAACAGCAGTTTATCACAACACTATAGCAAGCCTTGTGTTTGAGTTAGCGTTCAGTTCAAGATCATAACTGAAAATATGCAGAAACTAGTGAGCTGAACTACGGACTGCAAGTCTTCAAAAATGTTATTGCTCTAGTTCGCACTTTTATAAGGTATATGTTAAGGAAATAAAAAAACTCAAGTCCATCCAGTCAGCAAAACGAAGTATTAAAACGAATTAGCTCTCAGATGACGTTTTGCTGCTCATCATTGCTAGTGGATAAATCCATTTTTTCCAGTTTAAGAAAACTTTCGTCAAATTTTATTATGAAGTTCACATTTTAATAAACAAGTGCATGAATTAGAAAGTACTTATTACAAGGTGGAAGTTAATTATGAAAAAGTTTCAGTAATTTGTGACCACTTTTCTTCGACGACGGCATTTTGACCATCTCAGCTCCTTTAGGGCTTTTTGGAAGACGTATGGTACTGCAGCGACCAGCGCTTTTCGTTGACAAAACACTTTTACTAACTGCAAGCGTAAAGAAAAATAAAATCCTACCAGAATGCACATAACAAAAACAACAATTAATTCACATACAGGAAAGCCTTTTAAATCATTTATACCCAGTACAATTCAAAAAAGGAAAAAGATTAATTTATTTCAAAAGAGCTGGTAAAATTAATTAGGCACAGAATTATGTGCTCAGCAAGATTCAACATTCTCAGTAACAAACATCCTAAACTTCACTTGAATCACAATCTATTTCTTAATATATTATTAATTTTGCTCCTCAGTTAGGCTTAGTTTTTTAATAGCTTGACAAAATTTCCAATATCCAAAAATGTGTTTCCTGTTTAACCAGAACTCAAGAAAGCAATTTACTTTCATACAACTGCACAATATTCGTTTTATATTCTTTTTTCAAGATCATAAGCTGAAAAAAAATTACCAGAAGAAGCAATTTCAGAATCCGAAGAATAGAGACGTGGGGATGGACTATGTCTTTCAGCTATACCATTCAAAAGTGCTGTAACCGGACGCCTAATAATTGACGCAACTCGTTCCCATTCATCTACAGCTGACACTTCTCCAAACATCATACCAAATCTTTTCGCTAACTTTTCACCATCGGATTCGCTTACCTGCCTAAACCTTGGCTTTCAAAAATAAACGAAAATTTACAGCTTTTCAAATATGAATCCTTTTCAAACATTACTTTTTTAAACTTATTCTTCTCCTCGTGTACTTTAAAGAACAAAAGTGATGTTCAGTAAATGGAATACAATATAAAGATAAGGATAAAAGAGTTGATAAACCTCTTTGCATCTTTTTTAGCAAAAACTTAAAAATAGTTTCACTTTTCTATCGATCATGAATATTTGACAAATGGACTTTTTACAAAACCAGTGCTACATATATTTTGAAGACTTGGTGCTCAATATATTGTACATTATTTCGGATTTTTTCTAAATAAAGTGACAGGATTTTGTTGCATTAATTTTTTCTTAAAACTTTTAGAAAGCCTTGCCGATAACGTTCAAGATCCGTCTTGTTACCCGCCAACAGGCACTTGTGTTGCCGTGCACAAAGATGATGGTCATGTGTTGAAATCTGTTGCATCATTGATTCCGCATATTGTAAAGAAAGTTGAGAAGTAATATCATACACCTTAATATCATATACTTCATACCATATACTGCCAAGACTTTCAACGTATACTGATATTAAATACTATATAAATACGTTTCCGCCACTTATAATTATAT